TAGATAGATAGAAAAAGAAAGAAAGAGAGAGAGAGAGAGAGAGAGAGAGAGAGAGGAAAGAAAGAAAGAAAGAGAGAGAGAGAAAGAAAGAAAGAAAAGAAAGAAAGAAGGAAAGAAAGAAAGAAAGAAAAGAAAGAAAGAAAGAAAATTTTATAACACAACATTTCAGTTGGGTTAATGTCAGGATTTTGACTCTACCATTCCCAAAATGTGAAATTTCTTCTGCTTCGGCCATTCTGCTATGGATTTATTTGTGTGTTTAAGATTAATGTTGTGCTGCACAACCCCCATTCATTTAAGCTTCAACTCAAGGACAGGTATTCTGATATTACTTGTACAGTTTATTGGTACAATCCAGAATCCATTGTTTTGATCTATCATTGTGATCCATCTAGGTCCTGAGGCTGCAAAGTAGCCCCAAACCATGATCTTCCCATTGCCTTCCTTCACAGTTGAGATGAAGTTCTTTTGCTGGGTTTTGTTTTCTCCAAATATAATGTTTCCAAATAATGAAGGTTCCACTTTTCATTTCATCTGTCCACATAATATTGTCCCAATAGCCTGCTGACTCATCCAGATGGTCCTGATATCCTTCTATGCATACCACTTTTTCTTAATTTAATTAGAATCTTAGAATCAGTTAATAGAAACTATATGAAGTTCGGATCACATTGTAAGTCACCGTACTGCAAGATTACAGAGATGTGCAAAGGGTTCACAGATAGTTTCTCTTGTAACCCAGACTTCCTCCAGAAAGCCTAGACCAGTTTACATAATGTTTCCTGGCACTCTTTTAGCCTGTAACTTTATTTGCTATCTGCTTTTGAAGGAGCCTCACTATGAGTAGGGATGATGAAGTATGGGCAAGTTTAGTCTGGAGAGTGCGAGGACTTGAAAGAGAAGGATAGCTGTGGGACAAAGTAGTTAGGAAACTACAGAAATTAGAGTAGGAAGACTGGGTTTGAAAACTAAATAGACTCTTCCTATTTAATTTTCCATATCCGATTTAGACACATTTGTTTTTGTTTATTTGTTTTTCTTGTTTTGGGGGGGGGCTTTTTGCTTTGCCCACATTCATTTATTGTCACAAATGACAGAACAGACTAGACTAGAGATATTTTATTTATTCATTTAATCAATTTACAAGTATTTTTATACTGCCCAGCTCCATGTTTTACAATATACTGGTCCTTAATTGTAAGGAAGGATTTAATAAAGAATTAAAACATCATAATCACTGTATTACATTAATTGGGCATTGTGAGTAGAGTCAATAAGAAATTGCTATGATGGAGTCAGATGAGCTAGAGAAGTAATGATAATACAGAGTAGCACTGAAGAATTCAGGATTGGTACAAGTCTGTTAAAAAAAAATCCATGTTGAGAAGTTATCGGATCACACATCTTTTTGAAGACAGAGCAGGCTTTGCAGATTGACTTTCCAGAACAGATCAAACCAAAAGGAAAAAATTAAAAGGAATTCTTAGACTACCCAGACCTACATCTAAGGTGCTGTTTTAGTTCCATGTCTATCCTCATATTCTTCTCCTTCACCAGACCTAAATTGCAAACTCAGACTTTAGGGCTCTGCTGTGTTTACCAGGCAAACAGATTCCCGAGTGCTCAGTAATGGCTTGGTAAAAGTTTCTCTATTGGCTATGGAACACTCATTCCTTCCTGGATCGTTTTATTATATTACCTGTTTGAGGAAGATGGAAGAGAGTGTGCCACAGTATACTGTTTGCCTGAGCCTAGCTAAAGTCATCTCACTATTGCCCCATTGGACATTGCAGCAGACAGAGATCCAGTCCTGGAACTGACCACACTTCTTCCTTACTCTCTCCCTCTTCAGTTGCCTATTTCAGCCCAGTTGCTTGTTTCCTGATGTTTAACGTCTTTGACTGGGCAGGAAGGAGCCTCACAGCTGTCTGTGTTTGGGTGAGTATAGAGAAGCCAGGCATTTGCAGTACTCAGCTAATCTACCCTTCCTAAAGTTCAAACAAGTCTTCTGAGCTAAGGTCAGGAAAAAAAAAACATATTCTTGTGAACACAGAGTTCTGAGAAAAAATGTGGAGGGATCTGAGGAAGGATGATACTTTTCATTCAGTATTTTTCCACCAATCAGAGCAGTTGATGTCAGAACTAGGTATGGCAAAGTAGGAAAAATGATGCTATTAAAGACAGTGGCCCTGCTGAAGCCATTTCAGTTGAGCCTAGCTAAGTTGCTTAATGTTGCTTATTGCTGAGGCAGTATGGCCAAATATGAGGCATAAAGAAAAGAAGACAGATCTGTCAGTGGCTAATTGCCAGGTAAGCTGCATAGAAGCTCCGTGAATAAAGATGGTAAAATATTCTGAGCTTACCTCTGAATAACAGATGCTAGTGGCCATTATATTCTCATAACACACTCATAGCAAAAAGGAAAGAAGAAGAGGCATGAAGTTGCTTACTAGCAAATGAAAAGAAAATCCAAATAATGAAACAATACCAAGGGTGTGATTTTCTACTGTAAAGGTGCCACAGAAAGTCACTCTAACTGTGGAGAGAAGCCTTAAGCAGACAAATCTCTGGGAATCATAAAAAAGGGTCATAAGAAGGGAGAAGGGAGAAGGAAAATATTTCAGGCGGGCAGTGAAGAAAAATGGTTAAAGGAGAAAATTAAGACTGGTGGTCTAATTAGCTAGAGACATGAGTAACAGTGGAAGAAAGGAAAAAGGGCAGGGATAACTCATTTTGCTTGGTCCAAGTAACATGTGCTGTTTTTTCCTCTCATGTGTTTGGCTTGGGTGAAGGCACCTTCAGTTGCCTAGTCAATAATCCTACGCTCTCTGTCTCACAATTAGCAGCCTGTCTAGCACAGCATAGGGATACTGTGAGGGGCTGAAAGGGAATATTACAGAGCAACCCAAGGTCTTGGATTAGTATAAAGAAGCCAAAAACCTTGCTTCTAGGGCCTGGGAGAAATACATTTCCCCATGAAAGTCCTACTGCTCAGCATTTGAAACACTATGTCAGCCCTTATCTTTCAGGCTAATAGCTTCAGCATAATATTAATAAGACTGTTTGTTTAAGCAGTTGTCAGTGTACAACAATAGGGCAACTTGTTTAAATCAGTAAACCTCAGCAGGAAACCAAACCCAGTTTCATTTTCTCCCTTCATGTTGGGATCAGTTATGTTGGCTGCTCTCCCTCGTGCCCAGCCTCTCAGGCTTATCCCAAAGAGAAGGATGGGCTTGCAGAAAATATGTTTGCCAAAGAGCTTTGTGGAAAGTTTGACTCCACAGAGATGATGGGTGGGAGGTTTGAGGCTGATGAGCTACACAGATCCTTCCTTCCTCAGTCTGGCCCTTCTTCCTGTTGCCTTCCCATTTGGCAAAAGGGCTTGTTTTGCTTGCCTACCACAATACACATGGGAGATGAAGGGGAGAGAGGGCTTTTCGCCCACTTGTTAACATCTAAGTGAGTCCCTGGTTATCCAGCTCCAAGGGGGAATAGGACTATTTTTGCAACCAGGCAAAACCTCAAAAAGTCTCATTCTGTTCTCAGAAGTCTCATTGCCCAGTCAGTGAAAATTACTCAGTTAAATTGGAGCTAACAGTCTGACGTATGTTTGGCTATGCCACTCTGTTTTTTGTAAGAGAGCTGCCGCCGCAGCCACCGCCGCCTCCTCCTCCTCCTCTTCTTTTTGAGAAGTTAGGACATAGCAATGAGATGATAAGAATTACTTTATTTCTATTCCACACTAGCTCATTTAAGTCATTAGCCTTCAGATAAACATATATAAGGCACTGTGGCATAATTAGGTTTGCACCCCGCAGAAAGATGCTATTAGACTTGATAGAGGACCCTACTGAGAGACCCAAAATGGTATGTTACAGAAAAGGGCAAAACATTTCCACAATTTAGAGGGCAAATATGTGTGGCTGAGGTAGCAACTCAGTTAAAATAAATCAGATAAACTTTGTTTACAGTCCTGCATGAAACGATGAGTTTGGCATAAATCAGTGTTTCTCAACCTTAGCAACTAAGATATGTGGATTTCAACTCCCAGAATTCCCCAGCCAGGATGCTGGCTGGGGAATTCTGGGAGTTGAAGTCCA